GTTTGGGGGACAGCTGGGAGAAGCCCTGAGTTCCCAAGAAAAAGGACTTTGAGTCGTGTGGCCATGTGGCCCACAGCAGGACAAAGGGTGGAAATATACATGGGACCCTACTACAGGGGTCACTCCGTGCTCTCCGTGGCCAGAGCACGGTTGGCTCTGATCTGTGTCTAAAAAGAGCACAGCGGATTTCTTCCAGGGCTGTGGTTCAAGTTCAGCATTCTCATAGAAAGAGCAGATCAATCAACCCAACCACTAAGCAAATGATAACGATTTTAATTCAACCACAAGGCAGATTACGGTAATGAATGTGGTACACAGAGACATGTGAGAAAAGAGGAGGGCAGAGGATAAAAGGGAGAGAGGAGAGGAAGAGGAAGAAAAGAGGGAAAGAAGGAGAAAGTTAGGAAATGAGAGAAGATAGGTGCAGGAAGAGGGCAGAGCGTGGTCCAAATCCTGTTGTGGCCTCTGTCTCTCTGCTTCGCTCCCTGACCTGACACATGGTTTCCTAACAGCGCAGCATCCTTGTTCCTGAGCTATGTCCCACACCCCATCGTAGTCCATACCAAACTCACATTATAGAAATTCCAATATACACTATAAAAAATAATTGCTGGCCCAAGCATTAGTGGCTCATGCCTGTAATCCTAGTGACTCAGGAACCTGAGATCTAATGATCTCAGCTCAAGGCCAACCTGGACAAAGAACCACTAGAAAACTGGAAGTGGAGCTGAGGCTCAAAGTGATAAAGTACTAGGCTTAAGCAAAACAAAAAACAAAACAAAACAAAAAAACAGGAACAGCTCCCAGGCCCTGGGGGGGGGGGGGGGAGCCCCCGGGCCAAGCGGCCTCCACTGTAACCCTTCCCTGCCCTTCCCCACACTTCCCTCCTTCCCCTGTTCACAACCCCCCACCCCTTCTGACTTCAGTTGCTCACCTTGGTCTGGTTCACCGGGGCTGTGCGGCGCAGGCCGCAGCTCCCGATGGAACTTCAAAGATAACAGAAGACAGAAAAGCAACAACAACAAAACAACAACAATACTAATGAATTTGAGAAAGCAAGGGCTGGGAAGTTGGCTCAGTGGTAGAGCGCTTGCCTTGCATGCCTGAGGCCCTGGGTTCGATTCCTCAGCACCACATAAGCAGAAAAAGCTGGAGTGGTGCTGTGGCTCAAGTGGTAGAGTGCTAGCCTTGAGCTGAAGAGCTGAGGGACAGCGCCCAGGCCCAGAGTTCAGGTCCCACGACCGGACCAAAAAAAAAAAAGAGAGAGAAAGCAGTAGAGATTGGGGGAAGGGGAAAAAAGCACCTGCTTTTCTGATCCACAACCTGGCTGGATGCTAAGATGTCTGTGACATGAATAGTCAGGGTTCTGACAGCAATGAAGAGGATTATGATCCAAATTGTGAGGAGGAAGAAGAGGACAAGGACCCTGAGGACATAAAGGACTATTATGTGGGAGTAGTCAGCGATGTGAAGCAACAGGGAGCTGATGCCTTTGATCCTGAGGAGTGCCAGTTCAACTGCTTAACTTAAAGGAGTCTGAGGGTGCCCTCAATGAACACATGACCAGCTTAGTCTCTGTACTAAAAGTATCTCATTCAGTTGCAAAACTTGTATTAGTTAATTTCAACTGGCAAGTCTCAGGGATATTGGACAGATTCAAGTCCAATTCTGCTCAACTGCCTAGCCTGTCAAAACATGTCCCCGCAGCCCATCCCCCTCACCACTGCACAGTGTATATGCAGTTTGTACAAAGGAAAACCTCCTCTCTCTGACTTGTCAGCACCAGTTTTGCTGCAGCTGCTGGGAGCAGCACTGCTCAGTACTTGTCAATGATGGCATGAGTGTAGTAGTCTCTTGTATGGCTCAGGATTGTCCCCTCCGTACACCAGAAGACTTTGTGTTTCGGTTACTTCCCAATGAAGAATTGAGAGACAAATACAGGCGCTACCTCTTCAGGGACTATGTGGAGAGTCACAACCAGCTCCAGCTGTGCCTGGTGCAGACTGCCCCCTGGTCATTCGGGTACAGGAACCTAGAGCTCGTTGAGTGCAGTGTAATCAGTGCAAGGAGGTCATCTGTTTCAAGTGTCCTCAGATGTATCACGCCCCCATGGACTGTGCTACCATCCACAAATGGCTCACGAAGTGTGCAGATGACTCAGAAACAGCAAACTACATCAGTGCTCACACTAAGGATTGTCCCAAGTGTGAGGGCTAGAATCACATGCAATGCTCCAAATGTAAACATGACTTCTGCTGGATGTGTCTACAGGACTGGAAGACGCATGGCAGTGAGTACTATGAGTGCAGTCATTACAAGGAGAATCTTGACATTGTCAACCAGAGCCAGCAAGCCCAGGCCAGGGAAGCCATCAAGAAGTACTTGTTCTATTTTGAGAGGTGGGAAAACCATAATAAAAGCTTGTAACTAGAGGCACAGACATATCAGCGGATTCATGAGAAGATTCAGGAAAGGGTCATGAACAATCTGGGAACTTGGATCGACTAGCAGTAGCTACAGAATGCTGCCAAGCTCTTGGCCAAGTGCCAATACACCCTGCAGCACACCTACTCATATGCATACTACATGGAATCTGGCCCCAGGAAGAAGTTGTTCGAATACCAGCAGGCTCAGCTGGAAGCTGAGATCAAAAACTTGTCATGGAAAGTGGAGCGTGTGGACAGCTATGACAGAGTGGACCTGGAGAACCAGATGCTCATAGCAGAGCAGCGGAGGAGAACCCAGCTGAAGGATTTTTATGATACCTAAGCTGGGCATAACCTGCTGGGGTGAGCAAGATGTAGGTGTGAGGTCTCCCGGCCACCATTACTGCATGCTGCAGACTCTGCCTTTCACAGCCCCAGGAAAGAAGACAGCCAGGGCCCCCAACTCCTGAGAGACACTGGCAACCACACCTCTTTTAGTCAATTTTGTTTTCTCATCTTTTTTGCTTTTAGTTTCTACCAGGGTCGAGGCCATGTTGACTTTGCGTCTTCCCACTCCCCCCACCCAGGACTTTTACATCCTCCTTGGATGATTTCCCAGGCCCTAAGTTCAAGACCCAGGATCAATGGCTACATGCATATGATCATATAAAATGATATTTATCAAAATGAAGTCCAGGAAACGGAAACAAGGTTTTTGCCTTTGTTGCTGTTTTTCATTTTCTTTTGTCTTACTTGTTCATTTATCTGTCTTTAGGAGGATAAGAGGAGCACAGAAATGAAGGGACAAAGAGTGAACAAATACAGAAGTGGTACTCACTGCTGGATAGACCTAGAATGAATCATGTTAAGTAAGGTAAGCCAAGCTCAAATATCTGTGGTACTTTTGAACAGCTAGCCATGTTACTAAGACAATTCTTAGGTTGAAGGAGTTAATATAACAAATTGTAATGACCAAATGTGTTGGTTGTTACAAAGGGACATGGGTAGGGTTTTTTGTTTGTTTGGGGGGAATTGTTTCTTTTTTCTGATCCTGGGGCTTGAAGTCAGGGCCTGGGCACAGTCCCTGAGTCTTTTTGTGCTCAAGGCTAGCACTCTACCAATTGAGACACAGCACCATTTCTGGCTTTTTCTGAGTAGTTTATTGGAGGTAAGAGTATTACAGACTTTTCTGCCTTGGCTAGGTTCAAACCACAATCCTCAGATCTCAACCTCAATAGCTAAAATTACAGCCGTGAGCAACCAGTGCCTGGCAAAAAGAGAAATTTTTATCATCAGAGTTAGAAGGAATGCTAGTAGGTGCTTTCCATGGACCTCATCAACCTACTCCAGCCATTTCACTCTCAGCTAACCATGGTGAAGAAGAGGGGGGGAGAGAGGGGGGAGGATGGAGAAGGAAGAAGAGGAGGAGGAGGAGGAGGAGGAGGAGGAGGAGGAGGAGGAGGAAGAGGAGGAGCAGGAGGTGGTGGTGGAGGAGGAGGAGGAGGAGGAAAGGTAGGTAAACCTTTGACAGAAATTAAAGAATGGCCCCCTTTCTAACCCTGGTAATCAACTGCAGTTAGACTGTGAGAATAGCTCCTTCACCAGGAGGAAGGACAGTTTGGACTGGGATGAAAGCTACCCTTTATGGTGTGCCTGCCTAGCTCTGAGTGGAGTAATGACATTGCTCTTTCACAAAGTAAATTTCCTTGATGAACTGTCTTGTATCTCTAGCATGTCTCTTAATTTCTGACACTGGAGAGTCATGCATTACTCACAGCATTCAATACAGTGCCTCTTGATGAATGTCACCCCTTTCACCATTCTCACCCACCACTCCTACCCCAACTTTTCCTCATTTTTCTTAATTTTAGGAAATGTATTTAACTTTTTGCCATTTATGTATACAGTGCATCTTGGTCTTTGTCATCCCTTCAATATATTCACATACCTCTTGCATCATATATTAAGACAGTTGTAAACTTGAGATAAAGAATGCATTCATATAGATGAGAGAGCTTTATATAATTGTCACATATTTATATGTGATATATAATACGCAGTGTATATATTCAAATCTATTCCATGTATAACTGTACCATATATACATGTATATGACATTTATCTTTGAGATAAATACTTTGTGCCAAGAGTAGTCATTCTCCTAAATATTTGCGTTTCCAGGATACGTGTCCCTTTTAAAGACGTGTTTGTTCAGCTTTCAGAACATATTCTCTATTAATTACTATTTACAGGAGGCTCATGGAATAGTTTGGTACAGGAATGAACAGACACGTACGTTTCTGTATGTTTCTTGCATGCTTCTTTTTCTTCAGCTGCAAAAGGCCATCTGCGTATATTGATAATTTCGTATGGCATTGGAATGATGTTATAAATATCCGAATAGCCCTAGAATAAATAAAGATTGTCCAGCCATGGGACAATCCTGCAGCTCTTCACTGTTGACTGTGTCCGGTGCGCATTTGGTAACAGGTAATGTAGGTGACTTCCGCTTCACGACCACCACAACAGACTGCTTTGCGGTCGCCTGATGCTATACGTTCTTTTCGACAGTGTGCTGCAGATGCGCAGACGTGGCATCGGCGTCTTCCAGCAGTGGCCGGAGACACAAAGAGGTATGTATATCTAGTACTTTGTAGTATATCTAGTACTTTATTTAAAGTCTGTGGATCTAGTATTGGCAAATTTATTGAGTTTTCCAACATATGCATGCAGAATTTCTATCGAATTCTGATTTTTTATAAATTTTTATTGAGATTAAGTAATTACATAAAGTCTCTTTCTGGATTCTCATGTATGATGAGAATTCATGTATGATCAACCCGTACGTGTCGATAATATTTCAGACGAGATCGGGCGCGTACAGGGTGGTATGGCCGTAGACTGTCGATAATATTTCGATCTCTGAGTTTTGTTTTTGGAGCACGTTTTTGTCATTGGGTGCACATAAGGGTTTGCAAAGTTTCTGTCTAAAAGCAGAGCCTCTTCACTTACGGTTCTTGACTTAGATCGCAGAATAAGAATTGCTGAGCAAGTCATAATGGTAAGAAAACTTGGCAGAGCTTTATTGAGTAAGTAAGTGAGCAGAAAAGCAAACAAGCAGCAAACACACACAAGCAGAAAGGAGAGCCGCACTCTAACAGAGTGTGGGTGCTCTCAAACGGAGAGCGACAGCTATTTCATACCAGGGGAATTTATATGATAAAGGTAGGGGATCTGATTTAAAGTTATGCATTGGAAGGGGCCTATCTGTGGTCTTAATCATGCTTAGTGTTACACTTTTACCTCTTGGACTCATGGTCTCCAAGATTGGCCATTACATTTGGGCATCCCATATATAAATATATTTTATATATATAAAATTTTATATATAAAATATATTTTAGGGAATATATATACATATATACACATATATATAAATGTTATATATAAAACATTATATATCATATATCTTATATATATATTTGTGTTTATATAAATGTATTTAATGTTTTATTGTTATTATAAAGGTGAGGTACAGAGGGATTACAGTTAAATAGTCAAGTAAAGAGTACATTTTTTGGACACTGTCACCCCTTCCCTCCTTGTCTCCTCGTTTTTTCCTCCCATCCTCGCCCACAAGTTGTATAGTTCACTTTCCAAATAGTGTCTAGTACCACTGCTGCATTTGTTCACCCTTTGTCCCTCTATTTCTGTGCCTCCCATAACCTTCCCAAAGGCATATTATTGAACAAGAAAGACTGAAACAACAATAACAACAAAAAAAACAGAAGTGAAGGAGAAAACCTCTTCGCCAGGCTCCAGTGGCTCACACCTGTAATACTAGCTACTCAGGAGGCTGAGATCCAAGGATCATGGTTCAAAGCCAGCCCGGGTAAGAAAGTCCATGAGACTCTTATCTACAATAAACTACTTGAAAAAAGCCAGAAGTGGTGCTGTGGCTCAAGTGGTAGAGTGCTAGCTTTGAGCAGAGGGAGACTCAGGGGCAGAACCCAGGCCCTGAGTTCAGGGGCAGAACCCAGACCTGGCAAAAATAATAATAGTAATAATAATAATAATAACCAATCTCGTTTCCATAGGCATTGCACCTTTGTGTTCCTCCCCTAAAAGTATCCTCCTTTGGTCTCACTGCGTGTGAATGCCTAGAGTCCTGTGTAATTTATCATGCCTCAGTGTGTTTTAGATCTAGCTTCCACATATGAGAGATACAGTGTCAGTAGTCTGAAGACAAAAGAAGGGGCTGGCAGGAAATCTCTGTAGTCACAGCTGGACACTGGAGATATCAGACAGCCAGGGCAGGACATTCTATAGCTAGTTGGCAGCCAGAGAAAACATCCTATAGCAGTGATAATACATTCTATAGCTGGCATCTTGCAACTATACACTAGGACCTGTGTGTGACCGGGACTGGCCATCCAGACTACGTTGCTGACCCCGCTGGGGCCAGTGGGAATGGAAATCTGGCCATGCTTGGCTTGTGGATGACCCAGGGTGATGGCTGCTAACCCAAAATAGGGATGAATAAGCTCACACAGACTGCTGCCCAGAGTGGTTGTACTAGTTTACATTCCCACCAGCACCACAATAGAGTTCCTTTTTGTTAGTACTTTCCTCACCTTACTGTCCTCAGCTTCACCCAGACCTGAGCTCCTCCCTGCCCTAGAGTTCCCACCATATAGCTAGCTCGCCACTAGCTCTTTACCCAGACTTATCCGTGCAGGGACCTTGCTACTAGCCCCAAAGCTACCACCTGAATAGGGGCAGATGCTATATGCTCGCTCTCCCAGGAAACATATGGCCCCTCTAATAAATCTTATAAATCTTTTTCTCCTGTGCATGCCTGCCTCCACGTAGTGCCCTGGGATGGCCGGGAAGGATACTAACACTTTTCCCCTACATCCCCGCTAACATTGGTTGTTGATCAAATTCATGAGGTTGTCGTTCAAATTCATGAGGTTGTCCAGTCTTAACTGGGGTGAGATGGAATGTCAGAGTTGTTTTAATTTGCATTTCCTTTATGGCCAGAGATGATGAGCATTTGTGTGTGTTTGCTATTCTCACCTCTTCTTGTGAGAATTCTCTCCTTCACTCCTTTGCTTACCTGAGGGGGGGGGGGGGGAGAGGGTAATTTTCTAGCTCCTTGTATTTTGGCTATTAGGCCTTTATTGGATTTATTGCTGGTAAAGATTGTCTCTCAGTCTGTTGACTCTTTCTAGTTTAGTAACTGTGTCCTTTGCTGCGTAATACCTTTTATCAAGTCTCCTATCTGCTGTGCCCGTCAATTATCATTGACACAGGATTGTAAGGACATAGATTTTGTTACTGTTTTATGAGTAAGCATCATATTTGTAATTAACGGTAAGGTATTTTTAAATGAAACAAGGATTATGTGAATGCTTTTGTGATGTAGTTTCCAAGCCAAAGATATCCTGATCCACCTAAAGGAGGTAAAAGTATATACTTTCAGAATAAGCAAAATAATAAAAACAAAAATACTGTTTTACATAGTAATTGCATCCAGGTAGTAAATGCCTAAACATTGAACTTAAGAAACTAAGATCTGGATTATGGATTAAGACTTCTGCAGATCAAATAAGACTAGATAGTCTAGTATGTACAAGGCCTGGAATGTTTTGATCCTCACAGAAACAACAGAAAATGCTATAGAAAAATAGTTCAAAGACTGTTTATCCAAAATTATGTCATCTTAGTCATTCCAAAACTTTATTTCTTAGCCGGGAGCTGGTGGCTCATGCCTCTAATCCTAACTACTCAGGAGGCTGAGATTTGAGGTAGAAATCCAGCACCAGCAGAAAAAGCCAGAAGTGGCACTGTGACTCAAGTAGTAGAGCCACTGGCCTTGAGCAAAAGAAGCTTAGGGACAGCACTCAGGCCCTTGAGTTCAAGCCCCAGAACCAGCCCCCCCCCAAAAATGAGTGTTTACAATTTTCTTCATAGACACCATGTCCTCAATATTTTTTAAAATGAAATGAAAACACAAATATTGGGATTAAGAGGCTATCAAATAAATTAGCTTCAAAACCAGAGAAAACAAGATCAATAGAAGGAAAATTAAGCAATAATAAACAATAATAATGGTAATCATTATAGTTAATTAAAATAAGGAAAATGAGTTATAATAAAGCTGGAAGTTTGTGACACACACACAGAATACAGATCTTTAGAATTTTTAGAGCAATTTATTCAGAATTTTAATAAATGAGCAATGACTATTTTTGTAGTCATAACACAAGCCAACTTTTCCTATAGATGGAAACTTCTCATTTTTACTTCTTACAAGTTACGATTTGAGTGTTTCATCTTGCTTTAAAAGATTCCTTCTTGTACTTGATCCATGGGTTGATCCTCCTTCTCAGCATCATTACTATCATTGTTTTCCCCTACAGAAGAGAGTTCTTCAGTGTCAGATCTCTCTGATGCATCAGAAGAAGACTCAGTGGAATTCTCACTTAGATTGTTATTTGAACTAGAGTGCTGAGGTGGGAACACGGATAGAGGATTGTAGCCGAAATGCTCTGAAGCATATGGTAAAAAAATTATAGATCCTTCTAAATCGGTCAAAGGGCCATCTATATCTGAAAGTACCATTGGTGATGGTGGTGGTGGCAGAAGCTGGTAAGATCGCAGAAAATAATTTGAATTATAGCCAACAGAAGAATCTATCTGGTCAGTTGTTGAGATATCTTTGAGCCCCGGTTTGCTGGAAAGCACCATGTCCAACAACTGCCTGTCATTGTCATTATAACCAGGCCAGTCCTTTTGTATCTCTTTAAAAATACAGTCCTTTAAATTATAGGAGTGGTTGCTGGCATTCAGATTGGCTACTTGTTCAAGAATTTTACCCAGAGAAAATCTATTACATTTCTTCCAGCCATCTTTCTGTAATCGTGTAAGCAGCTCAATTTTTTTATAATCTTTCACGGCTAATAAGTGAATCACCCTTTCTCTATATTGCTTCATCTGTGTGCGCCAGATTAATAGGATTTGTTCTTATCCTAGCAGGCCCTGGATCTGGAATTACTTGTGGTCCTTTCCGATTTGTAACCTTGCTTTGCATCAGTGGTTCAACATTTTTGCAAGCATTCTCAGAATTATCTTCAGAGTACATTTCTAATGGAATTACCTGATAAGATACATATCCATCTTTCACTACCTTTTTCAATTGCATTTTTTAATGACTTTTGATGTAGCTTGGGTGGGATCACTATCTTCATATGTTTCACTGTGAGAACTTGTATCTGATAACTGAGGTATGTAGTCATACGAATTCCTGGGTGACCTTTGCAATTGGAATTCAGAAGTTGAATTCCTATAGCTCTCGCAAGCATGACTTGCCCTGAATGATGACCTCATAAACTGCAAAAGTTTGCCACTATGGGCTGCTGTATGCTCAAATCTGTAAAGATCAAAGTTTACATAGTAATTTTTTAAGAAAGTAGTCCTGCTTCATAGGAATTATCCCTTTTGCTATTTATAAATCTGTAATTATAAAATATGTTAGCCCAATGGTAAAAAGGAGTACCTTATTGAGGTAGAATTTGGAGAGATAAGATGACTGTAATGATCTAATTACTTTTTTACTTGTTTAAACTTT